TGTTAAGTCAATATTTTATTATTTGTATCTGGTCCATTTTCGCAGAAACTGTAATTATATAAAGATGTATTCGCCATGCAATCTCTACAATTTTGAAATGTCATTGATGCACCAGGGAATTGCAAATTCTAGGTCCAAATATTGACAATTGTTTATTGCAGCAATGTTTCCAGCTCTTCAATTTGAACATGTGATTTTCTGGTAAATTCCTGATAATATGCAGCTTAGTGAATAACTTTTTTAGGTATTTCGGGTTTCTCTCTCCTGCTGATGCTATTAGTGGACTGGCCTGAAACTGAGATAGATTGGTAATATTAAGGGGGGGAGGCAAAATAAACTCACCTAGCTGAGAGGCGTGCCGAACAATTTAATCTACACAAGTTAGTAGTACGTTTATAAACTTTTATTACATACTTTTCAACGTTTTTCTTGTTTTATTTTGGTATGTATATTTGTTTAAAAGTGTTTGCCTTCTGGTCTTAAAAAATAATAGTCAAGTGATGCATGTCACTTTAAGAAAAACTTTTACTGTAATGTTATATATGTATATGAACATTTTGTTATATCACACATTTAAAGACGGAAATCACACTTAACATCATTGTTTCCATTGACTTCGTACTAAGCCAAACTCTGAGTTTACGTTGCATATTAAATTGCTTAGATACATTTTATGCTGTAGCTTTCGTTCTGTATTTCATTTTGCAATATAAAAAAGGAATGTATACATTTAAAGAACAATACTCTATTGAATGTCATAACACTTCGCTGATATTGATTGAGGCTGGCGTTAATGTAGGGAAGGGATTATGGCACTATGTAGCTGAGATTGTTTAGAGCTGGGAACAAGGATAATGCAATTGTGAGTGATGAATATGTTTTGGGGATGAGGGTGATGTCACTGGTAAGTCTGTAGGTCATGATATTATTATTATTATTATTATTAATATTTATAAAGTGACAACAAATTTTGCATAACTGCAAAATGGAATATAATGGGGTTAGGGATTATATGATAATGGAGATGGGGTAATCTAGTTGGGGATGAGGAAATGTCACTGTGACTGGCGGTGATGAGGGGTCAAGGTGATTGAAGCGGTTATAATGCTGAATGTGCATTATGTGCAGGACGTGTGTTAAGGAGATTATGTGATTAGAGTAAAAGGTTCTGGGCAGGAGTAAGGGCATTTTTCAGATTGAGTTGGGGATTGGGTTGGGGTGAGTAAATAATAAGGATGAGGTTATATAATTGGGGTAGGAATGATGAGGTGATTACGAAGACTGAGTAATGTGACTAGGACTTCTGGGAATAGGGGTGACTTGATAGTTGACAGAAAGGTCTATGCAGATGGAGCTTATGAGGGGATTAGGAGATTGGTTGAATTTGATAAAAGTAAAGGTAAAAAGCACAAGGTGATGAAGGTTTAACGTGCTGGTGAAATGTGTGTGATAGGGGTTTGTGTATATCAGGGCCATCTTTAATATTGACCAGACACTGGGCAACCATTTTCTTGGGCCCCCTGCACCCTCCCACTCCCTTGCATGCAATCATGCCATCCATCCCAATGCAGTAGAAGAACTAAAGTAGAAAGGGCCCCCTACCTAAGAATGGCCGTGCAACTGTAACAATGCTTTGACTGTGTTTAGCACTGAGCAGTGTTTGTGTGTTTGAATGTAAGCATGTTTTTGTATGGAGTATGTTTGTGTGAATGTAAGGGTGTGTTTGTATGTGGTGCTGGCGTTTGAATGTAAGTATGCATTTAGGTGCAGGGGTGTATTGATATGGATATTTAATTTTGGTGTAAAATACAGAATTGTGTTTGTATGTAGTGTTGATGTTTCAATGCAGGAGTGTGTTTATATGTAGTGTTGAAGTTTGAATGCAGGAGTGTATTTGTGTGTAGTGTTGGCATTTGAATGTTGAGATATATGCACATATACACATACTCTGCAACATACTCACACTGTGATATCCGTAAACACACAGATATACACAGACATACACACAGACACACATGCAGACGCAACAAAAATGTGGTAAAAAATACCTATTAGTGGAGCACTAAATAATTCTATCTGGTCTGTGTAGCGGTGCTTTAAAGTTACCCCACAAATACAATGTTGTACTATACTCGAAGATAGATACAATGACAAGAGGGGTGCCCCTCCCAAGAGAGGAGACCTGATTTCCAAAATGGAGCATGGCATGATGAAGAAGAACTTTTACTGGTGACATTTCAGAAGTATTGATAGTCCTCTGACGTCTTAGAGAATCTTCATTGGGGTGGCGCCATCCCCAGAATACTGGCACTCTGCTTGTTACCCTTAGAGCCAGGATTTAAAGGCTCTAAATAAGGTGAGCTTAATATTTACCATTGGATTGAAGTTCACAACTGAAAGATACTGCGCATTGGTTGTTTCTCTTCTTTTATCCCCTTTGGAGGAGACAACACCGTGAGAGTGGTGTGTTGCTGCCCTAAAAGCAAAATGGTCCATCCTACAGAGCCAATATTATATAGGCTCTACAACATCTGAGTGGTTCTAGCTTTGTGTCTAATACCAGACTAGAACTATTTTATACCATCTGCACTATTTTTTTTTGTCTTGTTTTTTCTTGTCATTGTATGTATCTTCAAGTATATTACAACATTGTATTTGCGGGGTAAGTTTAAAGCATCCCTACACAGGCCATATAGAACTATTTAGCGCTCCACTAATATGTATTTTTTACCACATTTTTGTAGCTATTTTATGTAGTGTGGATAAAAGGATATTCCACATCAAGTGTTGAGCTGTTGATCACCAAGACACTTTATTGTATCACATATTACCTCCCATCAGAGGTAATTCTTCAGTTTTACACATGCAGGTGCAGACATACAGACACACCAATACACATACAGACAAACAGATACACAATCTGACACACATGCAGATAAACAGACACGTATATACAAACACTGACACACATGCAGTTACTCAGACACACATACTGACAACATACATATACACAGACACACACAATGACAACATACAGACACACACATACAGATACACAGACACATATACTGTCAGACATACTGACACACAGACACATATACTGACAGGCATACTGACATACATTGACACACACACTGGCAGACATAATGACACATGCACACTGAAAGACATACTGATACACACATAAGCATACACTGACAGACATACTGACATACAGACACATACACTGGCAGACATACTGACACACACACACTGACACACACACTGACACACACACAGACACACACACAGACACACACACAGACACATACACTGACAGACATAGTGACACACACACACTGACATACATAATAACACAGACAGACACTTACATAGACATATTGACACAAACTTGCACTTTTAAACCCTCACGCACTGTTAAAGGGCCACAGCGCACGACCGGACCCCTGCTTACATATGTCCACTGGGTGGCCCTTAGTGCATGGGCAACCCGGTGGGCCTCCTTAGAGTGCAGGCACCCAATTGCATCGGCCTGTCCATGGGGAAGATAAATTTAAAGTGGAGGGCAGCTGCTCTGGGGCCCCCAGGAGTAACTGTGCCCGAGGCAGCTGCCCCGTTTGCCCCACGTTAAAAATGGCCCTGGTGTAGAGAGGGTATAAAAGGATTATAGAGGCTCGTATTTGCACTATGTTTAGAGCTGGCTTTGTGCATGCTGTTTTTATGAGTGATACTCAGTGACACTTACATCATTCACAAATAGTCGCAAACAGAAATAAATCTACTGATCACAGATTCATTTTAAACTAGCTTACTTTATTAATCTTAAACCATTAGTGATGCTTCTTAACCTAAAACTAAAAAAGTAATCTTCAAAAGCGAGAGTTGTGCAGGGCTACATAGAAACATAGAAACATAGAATGTGACGGCAGATAAGAACCATTCGGCCAATCTAGTCTGCCCAATTTTCTAAATACTTTCATTAGTCCCTGGCCTTATCTTATAGTTAGGATAGCCTTATGCCTATCCCACGCATGCTTAAACTCCTTTACTGTGTTAACCTCTACCACTTCAGCTGGAAGGCTATTCCATGCATCCACTACCCTCTCAGTAAAGTAATACTTCCTGATATTATTTTTAAACCTTTGTCCCTCTAATTTAAGACTATGTCCTCTTGTTGTGGTAGTTTTTCTTCTTTTAAATATAGTCTCCTCCTTTACTGTGTTGATTCCCTTTATATATTTAAATGTTTCTATCATATCCCCCCTGTCTCGTCTTTCCTCCAAGCTATACATGTTAAGATCCTTTAACCTTTCCTGGTAAGTTTTATCCCGCAATCCATGAACCAGTTTAGTAGCCCTTCTCTGAACCCTCTCTAAGGTATCAATATCCTTCTGAAGATACGGTCTCCAGTACTGTGTACAATACTCCAAGTGAGGTCTCACCAGTGTTCTGTACAATGGCATGAGCACTTCCCTCTTTTTACTGCTAATACCTCTCCCTATTCAACCAAGCATTCTGCTAGCATTTCCTGCTGCTCTATTACATTGTCTGCCTACCTTTAAGTCATCAGAAATAATCACCCCTAAATCCCTTTCCTCATATGTTGAAGTTAGGACTCTATCAAATATTCTGTACTCTGCCCTTGGGTTTTTACATCCAATATGCATTATCTTGCACTTATCCACATTAAATGTCAGTTGCCACAATTCTGACCATTTTTCTAGTTTACCTAAATCACTTGCCATTTGGCTTATCCCTCCTGGAACATCAACCCTGTTACATATCTTAGTATCATCAGCAAAAAGACATACCTTACCATCAAGACCCTCTTTCTACTGCTAATACCTCTCCCTATACAACCAAAAAATTTATTTGGTGAATAACCCCCTTTGTGTGTACCAGAACATATTTTAAGCTTAGACCATGTCTTTTCCCCTTGCTTTGAAGTGTCACTTTTCAGTGGAGTAGAATGGCTTAACCTGCACCAAATGCTTAAATGCCAACAGAATTGCAGGGACTTGAACCCTGGACTCTCAGATTAAAAGTCTGATGCTCTACTGACTGAGCTATCTGGATTACCACGAAGCTGGGTTCCCTGAAGAACCAACATCCATTTTCTTACTCTAAGCACAGTGTGGTAAATTGTACATTTAATCAGTTAAGAAAATTGGGCTGATCCTATGGTGTGTGACTTTGGTGTGTGAGTGAAAAGGATTAACATAGCAAAATAAAGTTCTACCAGATGACCAACCAGTGGACCAGGCCTTGCCTGAAGAACGTTGGATTTATAGCAACCAACCCAAGAACAAGTAGAAATGGTGCTGGACTAGCAGAATCCCTGCATAACCTCTTCATCATTCATACACTGTAGACATCTGAACACACCTCCTGCTAGTTTTAATTAGCAGACAAATTTTGCTCTGAAATTGTAAAACTCAAGCAAACAACCCTGTATGCTAGTAACAAAGGGACAATAGCCTCCTGCCCCTTCGTCAGCCCTCCCATGGTGCCCAAGCTACACTAGTAATAATGACAGGGAGATGGCTAGACTTTTACAAATGTTAACCAATGGTCATGGAAATTAATGCCCATAAGTGCCTGTGAATTTATAATTAAATTAGTCTTCACCTTCCATCACACTCCTCATACGGGTGGTGGAGGAGACACGAGAACATCCACTAAAATCTAAAAAAAAAATCAATATTTTTAGATAGATAATCAGAAAATAAATCCATGTTCGTTAGTGTGTGTGATAGAGAAAGATTCTTGGGTTTTGACTACTATGGAAAATGAAAAACGTAGTGTGGAATGGATGGAATAACAGAGGGATTCTTTAACGAAGTGAAGAAGATCTTTGTGTTAAACTAAAGAAAATCTTTCTACTTGAAACATACTGAGTTTATCTTAATTTTTTTTAACTAAAATGTTTGAGGAATTAAGTACATTGGCTTAATTAAAGAATGTCAAAACAGCACACAAGACGTAAGCAGTGTTTGATTATTTTGGTAACATCTGCCTTGTTTAGTAAATACTGGATATTATTTTTTAAATTGTTTATTACGGCACATTCCCCTCACATCAGAAATTTACACTATTATGAATATTTTAAAATTTCCGTAAACAGACACTTATAATACCACAGAGTGTTCTGTTTTTGGACTTTATACTCAGAAAACTTATTATTTTAACCTGTTGAACTCACTTTCAACTCCCTTTGAATTCCAGTACATTCTCGCTATGGGTGAAAATACAAATCAGGTAAAAATTATATCAGCTGTAGATTTAGTTGTAAGACCTGTTCAATACACATTGAAAACACCAGTTTTACAGTAAGGTAAAAATGTTTTTTCAGGTTTAAGCTTTGAGTGGTTGAATAACAATGGTACCACTTTTATTTTTCCTAAGGGTGCAATAACTCAGGCTCCACCCTCCGGACAAGCATCAACAAACAAGCAAAAAAGATGTCCAGCACTCATTATTGTGAAAAAAACATATCCCCTTTTGGGCAATACAGCAACGTTTCAACTGTGTGTTTTTATCAAGCAATTGATGGACAATTTACATTTCTTGATTGACATTACAATTGATGGATAATTGACATTGCTTGAACAGGGACAACAATGAGGGTGATAGTTGACAAGTGGAAAGTGATACCTTCTACTTCCTGTCCAGCCCCACACTCAGACACTGGAGGAGCAAGACACGACTGAGCTTTACACCCTATTTGAATGTTTCTGCATCTCTGTTATCAAACATAGGTAGCTGACTGGACAACACAGAACATTGGACAAGGCCCCTGGTGATTATCTCTACCTACCAGCCCACCTAAGGTCAAAAAGGCACATTATAAGAGCTAAAACAGTTGCCACATAGAGGATGTGCACTTCTAGGCATATACCTAGACACCAGAAGTAGAGAAGGAGTCCTGGATCAGTCCCCCACCAATCTAAGAGGAAGCACTCTAAGGAAAATGAAAATGTCTCCATCTTGTGAATGTAACTGAATTCAGCAAATATAAATTGCACCTTTTAATGTATTACACTATTGTACTGTTTTGTATTTTTGTATCTTTGCCTAATGATAAATCCGGCTAAAAACTCCATACCCTGAGAACCCACCCATACAATATATCACCCATAACATACCACATTACAACAAAAGTTCCCTCTGCCCTAAGTCCACTTTAAATTCAAATTGCAAAAGTAAAAGTAAAATAGCCAAGCTATGACTCTAGCTGGGTTGAATAATTTATCCAGTTGGGCTGAATTTTGCCATGAGGATTTCAATTTATAATTTTAGCTTTACTAAGCATCCCTGACCATTGATACTCATATTCATTTGCTTCCCCAGTTCATTCTTCATATTACCTCCCCCTCCATATTGTCCCTCTACCTTTATATTTCTTTGGATCCTGCTCACACCTTCTTCTCCTTTGTGTCCCCCCTTCTTCCTTTGTCACTTTCCAAATTCTCTTTATTCCACTTATTTTTACCTCTCACCATACCCCCTACCTCCACTTGTGTCTCTTTCTTCATGTCATTACAATCCATGCTAGTGTTCTTTTATATTACTCGCTTTTGTCCATACGTCCTTATATCACACATCTGTCCCTCTTTCCATATCCAGGTTATTTTTTTAAATAAAAACAAAGCCTGTTTTTTTTTTACTTTTATCCTTTTTACATTTGTTATCACAACCACTGTCTCCTTGATTCTGCCAAATCTCTTTCCACTAATTTCCTTGTTGTTTCTTTAATTCTTGAAAAGATTGAAATTATATCTTTTTTCAGTCAGTGGTGGTCTTCTCATAGAATCTAGTTTTCTAATTATTATTCTTTTTCTTTAAACCTGTAAGACATCACGGATTGTGTTTCTTCTGAATCTTATCTGCAAACCTCAGAATTAATTATTTAATACATTATTATTGCCATCCAAATTACCATCACAGTCATTAACATTCACATAATTTGCTGTAAACCAAAATCTTCACTGAAAAGTCTCTTTTAAATTTGTTCACTTTAGTTAATATATTAAAAAGAATGTACTAGGAACAAAATATAAAGTAATGACATTTCTCCTGAAACCTTATATTATGAAAGATTTACTACACTATATGTCATCCTTTAAATATTTTTCTAGTTCTCACTGTGACTTTGATATGTGCGTTCTTTGCCCTCTTCTTCTGCTTTTTTTCCCCTTCCATCATTCTTTGAACCATCTATTTTTTTGGTGAATCATTGATTAACTTACATTTGGTATAATTATCTGATGACATTATTTGGACTTCTACTTAATAATCTCTCACAAGTCTCCTTCTACTCTGATCTTGGGGCATAAGAGATCAATGAGGAATCAAATGTTGCTTCACTTGATATCTCTGTGCTAGAGAAAGATACAGTATGCTTATTTTTATTCTTACTATTTACGATGGATATCGTTTTCTTATTGTTTAAGTGATATTTCTTCTGTTGTAGTTATCTCCATTTGTATACTCATATCTCTATTAATGTACTCTTACATTTTCATGGTCGTATTTGTCTCTTAAACACGTTTTTTTCTTTTCAATAATGTTTGCTTTCCCTTGACATTTCCATTGTATTTTCTGATCCAAGTCTGGAGCTGATGTTACATCTGATAATTCTTTTATTTGTAACTGAGAAAACAATTAGTCACTAATGAGAAAAGTGACCATTAAAGAGTCGACATAGGCAAGAAGGGCTTAACCCAAAATTGCAGCATAATCTTAAATCATGCAGTAAATCATCATTAAATACATAAAGTAGATTGCAACCTACCCCTGAGGCAAACACTGAATCAACATTGAGAATACTACTGAATGAAAATCACTATTTGTGAACTAGAACAAATCCCAGTTCCACAAAGTGAACTAGCTAGGTGGTATAGATATGCATTTGGGAGCCAGACACAAAATAATTCAGTGTTTAGAGGAAAATTTGACCATAACACCACACTATGCCGTTGAACTGCTAAAATGCTCCTTTATCAATTGTGACCACATCACACATATTGCTAGCATATATGCTGCACTAACTGGCATTGCGATCCCCTTGTCCTTGTGTTATGGAGACTTACCTATACTGGTGCAAGTGAGAATAAAATCAAACTAATCTAAAGATCAATGTGCCTTCTTCAGGATCTACCCACAATGGCAGCTGTCCCTGATTACTCACCAAAATTTAAAGTAGTAAGGACTGCCCATTGCTGATGTCATTCATCCAATCAGATGACAAGAAGTCATACGGCGGAAGCCTCGCCTCCACTGATGCAAATGCCTACGGCTTTGAATGCAACTTATTTGGATTCATATCTATCAGTCAATAGGACATGGATAGGCAACCTTCGGCACTCCAGATGTTGTGGAATACATCCCCTATAATGTTCTTACACCCATATTGCTGGTAAAGTATCATTGAAGGTGTAGTCCAAACCATCTGGAGTGCCGAAGGTGGCCTATGCCTGCAATAGGAGTTCCTGCCTCCAAAGTGAAGCGATCGCTATTTACTGTGATCTGAGGCTCCAACTCTTAAGTATAAATATGTTAGTTAATAGCCTGAACAGATGGGTATACAAAAAAGGTTCCTGATATGCATATAGCTACGTAAGGCTCTCATAGGGCAATCATCTAAACGGTGAACATGCAACTCCCTGCTTTGTAACAAGTGGTAAGATGAATATCTCATAATTTAAAGGATTACCTAAAGCTAAAATGCTCTGAAATCATTGGGAACTCAATAATATTACCAATTGAAATATTGAAGATAAAGGAATACCTAAACAAATAAGCATTCATCCGTGGGACCTATCGAATGTTACTGAAATTCTTTAATGTGCAGTGAGACCTAGGTTTACAAATGCCACGGTTAACATAATTTTCGGTTTACAAATGAAAATCCATTGAAAATAATGCCTCGGTTTACAAATATTTTTCGCAATACAAAGCAAGTTTCCCCAGGGTGCATTGTACCTGGGAGGTTTATAGCACCACCTCCTGCATGCTGGAGCTTGTGGGTAGCACGTGGCGTCGAGTGTGCAGGTGTTGGAGCGGCTTTTGCATC